CTTGGTTTTTATATTTTTTTGTTGTTGTTTTTCATTCTGTTCCAGACGTCGTTTCGCATCCCTCCGATGCCAACTCCTACAGGCGTGGGAGAAAGAAACGCGTGCCTTACACAAAGGTCCAGTTAAAAGAACTCGAAAGGGAATACGCTACAAATAAATTCATAACCAAAGACAAACGGAGGAGGATATCGGCAACTACAAATCTGTCAGAGAGACAGGTCACAATCTGGTTCCAAAACAGAAGGGTCAAAGAGAAAAAAGTGATCAACAAATTGAAGACTACCAGTTAATGGATTAAAAAATGGAGAAGCAGCAACTCAAAAGTTTCAGAACTTTTTTTTTTTTCGTGTTCAGATTAAAATAATTATTAATAATAATTAAAAAGAGAAAAGACAATGAACCTCTTATTTCAGAACAAGAGATCTGTATCTTTGGAATTATAGCTTTTTTTTTTTTTTTTTGTCTTCTCTTTTATTTTTTTTTTTAATATTGCTGTAGCAAAATGGTTAAAACTGACAGTTCTCCTGAAATCCCAAGCAGCCAGCCAGTATCACTGACAGACTGTAAAGCCACACGCCCAGCCCCGAGAGATACACTTTCAATTGAGACACACCGTTTTCTGAGAGAGTTGTAAGTACTTCTGCGACCTTACTATTTGAGAAGACTCTTCGTGGCCACGGTGCGAGAGCTGGTTGACGTGAGGAGGTCGATGTGGACACATAAGCTGGTTTTCTTCCATTGCAATCCAAACTGTATGTTGAATGACTGCTCAGGTAAACCATAGTGAAAAAAAAAATGTACAATTACTGTATGTTTTTAAGCAATGCATTTAATGTCAAAAAGTAATAATAAACCTCGAAGGTACTGAATAAGGATTTCAGAGACACCAGTAATGAAGGAAGCTCTGTGGAGGAACTATCTTGATAGCAAATTAAAAACATCGCAAAGTAGTGGGGGTAGAAAGGAAAATATTTGCTTGGAGACGTCTTTTGGTTTTACGTTTTATTTTCAAAAGATGATTTGTCATCTGAAGTGGGGGGTTTTTGTTGTTTATTTTTTCTCCTGCAGACCGTACAATAGATACTTTTTAAAGGACTCTGCCTATTTTAAACCTCAAATAATCTTCAAGAATTAGTATTCTAAGTCCCCGGAAAATTTTAAATATTGACTCTGGGTGAACGTGAACATTGGCATTTCTTTGCAATACAATACAATACAAAAAAAAAAAAAAAACTTCCTGGAGGGGAAAATATCCAAGAACTTTGAACTGATATACATTTTTTCCCCAGAAGTATTTTGATTTATGTAATCTATATTTTGATCTATAAGTAAATAGTCGTTTCTCCTTGTTTATTGTCTGTTATGAGGCCGCAGTAGGACGTTTAGGGATTCTTCTTACAGCACCTTTTAATCCAATCAGTTATTTCAACCAGCACATTATTTTGTTTTTATTCACTATAAGAAGCTATCTTGTAAATAATTAAAAAAAAAAAAATCAGCGCACTGTGAAAATGTACTTGTGCACCCTCATTTTTTTTTTTTATTATTTCTACTGAAAAATGAAAACCCAAGACGTGTAGATAGGTATAGTAGTATTAATACTGTTAATAAAATAGTCACTGTAACAAAACCTGAAAGAAATACTCTTTATTTTTCCATACTTACGTGCATTTCGTAAGGAAAAAAAAAATTAATATATATATAATGTATCTGTCTTGTAATTGTAATACTGTTGTCTTCCATTATGTAGGTTATGTATATGTGGTGGGGTTATTTTTTTCTGGACGGAATTTCTTCTCTGGGGGCAGGCACGCCTGACAACCAGCGTTCCTAAGCGATTAATGTTTGGGTAATGTTAAACAGCGGTTTTGCAGGGGGGCTGGGGGCCGGGGGGCCTGAAACCTTGACCTTGAGGAGGAAAAAAAAAAACAAACCAACCACACAACCCAGAAAAAGAGCGGATTTGTGACCTTGACTTTTGACAGCTCCTCTCCACGGCCGCATCCGCGGGCCGACAGCGCCACCTGGTGGCCGTCGCAGCGCCCCGCCCGCACCTGGCCGCGCCCGCGCAGCATCCTCTCCGCCGGTGGGGCGCACATGCGTGGGCACCGCCTCATAGCCTTATCGATCTATCTCTATATATATATATCATATATATGTAATATGTTCTGGACTGGGCAGGCAGAGCGCGCAGCAGGTTGTGTCCTCGCTTCTCTCCCCCGAGGCCGCGGGGTGACAATCGGTGCCCGGTCCAGGGGATGCCGGTGCCCGGGCGGGGGACGGTGGTGCGGTGCGAGGAGCCGGCCGGTGTTGTGAGTGGCGGGCGAGGCCGGTGGGGCACAAAGAGAGGTTTGCTTTCGCCGCCTGTCTCCTGCGGTGGTCTGCAGCTCTAATTAGGGCGATCGGGGGACCTTTACGGTGCATTTAGAGGGTATCGGATACCGCACTAACCGTGCGCTTCTAGCCTTACATTTCTGAAATTCAAAAGGACCCACCTCCGCAGGGATCAGCGCAGAGCCCTTTCCGCCGCTCAGATCTGACTGTAACTCATTCGTGCCATAACTTACATGAAAAGTACCTGCGGGAGCGGGATCTGTTTTCCAGGAGGCTGGCGTGTGGGGGGCTCTGCGCTCCGTGCGAGGTTTTAGCCTTCCCGCCGTGTGCAAGGCGCGTTATTCGCCCGTCGGTGTCGGCTGTCGGGGCGGCGGAGCGCGGAGATTTCTTGTTGAGGCCGTGGGTAACCCGCGGCCGCGGAGCGTGGGAACGCCGGGTGCGTCCCTTCGGAGGTTGGACGGGGAGGTTTTGAGGGAGATTTCCCCCGTTCCGCGGCCAAAACCGCCGGGGAGAGGTACACGAGTGGGTTTCCAGGCCGTGCGGCCGGGCTGTGCTGTGGGGTGACTGCGTGTCCCTGTGGGGTGACAGGGGACAGCCCCTACGCCGAGGACCCGGCCTGCCTGCGGCCTGGGCGAAGGACTAGGGGCAAGGACTAGCCCCAAGCTCGCCACACCGCCGGAGGGGGCCATAACCCTCCCCAGCGGGCAGGGCCTTCGGCTGCCCACGGGCGGGGAGAGCCGGGTGGGAGCCGGCGGCCTCCCCGACCCCCGCAGCATCCTGGCGGCCTGGGGTGTTCCGCGGAGCCGGAGCAGGCAGCGGAGCCCTGCGCTGGGGCTGCCGGACCCGCGGGCAGCCCTTCCTCCCGGTCGGACCCTGCGCGGAGCTCGGGGGCTACGGGTGCCAGTCTCCCACCGACGGTACCCGCCGTCCGTGGGCAGATAGCCACGGAGAAACCGCTTTTCTTCCCTCTCACTGCAACGCTTCTCCTCGAAGGCGCTAAATCGCCTGGAGAAAGCCACTTGCGAGTTACACTTGTTCTCGCTCCGAGTGAATAATTCTGTTTATTCCGTTATATTTCGCAACCTGTATAATTGTTGCACGAGACGCGCCGCAAATTACATGTGGTGCAGGTCGGAGATGAGGGCGATAGGCAGGATCTATCTTAGACAGGATCTTCTATTTTCACAACGTGCCTCAGAGCGATATAATTCAGGGCCGCCTTGAAAGAAGCCCACAACGAGAATATGGCCGACATTAGTAAAATATCAGGGTTTTTTTTTCCAGTGTTTTTTATTGGGTTTTCTTTTTTTTTTTTTTTTTTTAAGGTAACTTTTAATCGGAGCTAGCGTTTGAAGGTTATGTTTTCCCGCTGAACTCCCTACCGTTCAAATCTGCTAAGCGTCGCTAGCCCGAGCGTGGATTAGCGAATTGAAATTCCCACTACTGTTCAAATAGCTGTGCCGCATATATATTTCACAGGGTAAAAAGGGGAGCGACTGCTGGCAGGAGTAAGGTGACATTTTGGATGGGACCCCTGCTACCATGTAAGTCAGCGCCCAGGCTCCCGCAGGCTCCAGCGGGAGGAGCGGGTCGTGTTTCCCGGCCCTGCGGCGGAGGAGAGCCCCCGGGAGCAGGGGGGGAGCAGGATCAGGCCCACCGGCCACGGGGTTCCCCCCCTCCCCACCGGGGTGATCCCCGCACCCGGAGGTGCGGTGGTCGCGCCGACGGCTCCGCGCCCGGTTCCGCCGGGCCGGTGGCTCCTCTCGGATCCGCTGTCTCCTCCTCGGGCCCGGCTGGAGCCCCGCTCGCCAAACGGCCCCCCCGGGGGCGAGAGGCTCGGTCAGGTGAGTGAAGGCCGGGAGCTCGCTGGGGTACCCCGACGGAGGGGGCTGCGGGGATCCGCGGTGCCCCGCGCAGACATACGCCGGGCGCTGGCTTCGGGCACCGAAATGAGGGAAACGGGGGGGTTTTCTGCGGTTTTCCGAGTGGCGAAAATGTTCCCCGTCCGCCGGGCTGGCGTGCCCACCCGCCCCCGCCTCGGTGCTCCCGCGTATCTGCACCCACGCAGCCCCCCGCACCCCTCCATCCCTCCGGCGGGGAGCTGCGGCCTCGGAGCTTTGGGGAGAGCGGGTGTGTAGGTGTGTGTGTGTGTGTTCGTGTTATTTATTACCTTCATTTACCGTCCAAAAGCTGTTGGCACATACATTTTCAAGTACAAATTGCTGTTGTATTACATATTCCCCTCTCACCAATCTGCCGCCAGCGTCCTAAAATACATCCCTAATATGTTTTACAAGTAAATATATCACCAACGAAAATAATTAAGCGACGTGATGCATTGCTGCACGACGTCCGTCCCTGCACACGATTCGGAGATAATTATTATTTATATTCCCCGCGTTACCGAGAATGTTTTAAAATGGTGGTGGGGAACTTATTGTGCCTGGCTTTGCTGTGTAGAGTTGTATGTGCGAGGAGTTTTATTTGGAGACTTAAAAAAAATGTACCGGAAGAAGGATTTGAAAGGAAAACAAACAGAAAATTAAAAAACAAAGCGTACCTAAACAAAGTAGGGTCTCTATTTCCTCGGCTCCCCTAGAAATTAAAATGCTGGGTATAACATTTTAGCGGATGTGCAGAGGGACACAAGAGACAGAGGGAGCAAATTATGACTGTATATTTAGCGTATTTATTGAAACATTAATGTCAGAGCAGTATTTCATTCCTAATATAAAACGCAAAACATAATTGAAGACAAAAAAATATTAGTTCAGTTTCGCTTCAAATAACTCTGGCGGGATCCGGCGACGTATACTTTAGTTCCCGGTGTCTGGATATGTTGGGTTATAATCACCTAATTCTGGGCGTCCTTTTTCCGTCAGATTTGAAATTCCCAGGGACAGAAAGTGGCCTTAACGTCTCTGACGCGGGCGAACGGGGACAGCAAATGTTCTGTATTTTTTTCCCACCAAGAGAATAATCCGGTATTTAATCTGTCCCCGCCTCGAGCTCTTGGCAGTAGCGAAGGTGGTTTGCTAGGGGAAATAAACCTTGACAGGAGCATATTTCCGAAAAAAAAAAAAAAAAAAAAAAAAAAAAAAA